TTGAGAATTTCAGCGCGCCGGCGATTCGACAGCGTCCCGCTGACGTGACGTCGACACTACCAACATTTAGCAAATCAGCAGCACAACGCTCGATTTCCCGAAACCAGCGTGAACAGTACGACAGGCACCAGCAGCACAACACGAGAGACAGCCGCACCGCTCTGACTCCACACTTAAACGAGCAGCGTGTCGGAGTACAGCGGTTTTGGAACAGCAGTACAGGTAGCAAAGCACAACGACGTTGAGCAGTACGACGTCGACCACAGCCACACCCTGACATCAATCGACAGAGACGAGCAGTGCGACGAGCACTGCGTCCCCGAGCAGCAGCACGTCGGGGACCCGCAGCACGTCGTTGAGCAGCACGACGGAGACAAGCAGCGTGACCTTGACCTCCGCGAGTAGGACCAGTCACGCGACAGAGATCACCACACATTCCAGCACCAGCACGATGTTGAGCAGCACAACAGAGAGCAGCATCATGGCCTTGAGCAGTCCGACTAGTACCAGATCCACGACCCTGACATCCACGAGCCAGACGAGCAGTGCAACGAGCACTGCGTCTTTGACCAGGACGGATGCCAGCAATACAACACTGATCAGCACGACATGGACGTTTACATCAGGGAGCAGCAGCAGCAGCACGACTCTCACGTCTACAAGCGAGACGAGCACTGTGACGAGCTTAGCGTCGGAGAGCAGGACGCCGGGCACTGGCACCACAACTTTGACATCCACGAGCGAAACGAGCAGTGTGACGAGCAGCACGACGCAGAGTAGCAGCACCGTACAGTCCTCCACGAATGAGTCGAGGACCGCGGATTTGGGAAGTTCGACGGGTACCAGCAGCTCGACGTGGAGCAGCACAAACGGAGAGCAGCAGCACCACCCTGACATCTACGAGCGAGACAAGCAGCCTGTCAAGTGCAACTTTGTTGACCAACGAGGCAAGCAGCAGGAGCACAACGTTTATCAGCACGATGCCCACCAGCACCACAACCCTGACTTCATCGACAAAGACGAGCAGTGCTACGAGCACTGCGTCTCTGAGCAGCAGCACGTCGTTAAGCAGCACGACGGAGACAAGCAGCGTGACCTTGACTTCTGCGAGTAAGACCAGTTACGCGACAGACAGGAGCACATTGGGTACGAGTACGACAAGTGTCTACAACAGCACGACGGTGAGCAGCGCAACAGAGAGCATCAGCATCACGGCGTCGAACAGTTCGTCGGGCACCAGCACCACGAGCTTGACATCCACAAGTGAGACGAGCAGTGCGACGAGCACCGCGTCCCTGAGCAGGACGGAAACCAGCACGAAACAGATCAGCACGACAGAGATGTTTACAACAGAGAGCAGCAGCACGACTCTCACGTCTACAAGTAGGACGAGCAGTGTCACGAGCGTCGTGCCGGTGAGCAGCACTGCGGGGATCGGTACGACGGAAACCAGCTCCTCGACCTTGAGCAGCACTACGGGTACCAGCACGACAGGTACCAGCAGTAGCACGACGGAGGACAGCACGGCGGAGAGCAGCGACTTCACCTGGACCTCCACAGGCTCGACCACCAGCACGACGCTGAGCACACATTGGGCAGCAGTGCAGCAGTCTGTCCCCCACGAGTGGGACGGGCAGTGTTTCGAGCACCATGTCTCCGAGCAGTTCGGGATTGATCAGCAGCACATCGTCGAGTAGAAGCACGGGGACTAGCACTACAACTCTGACATCCAAGAGTGAGACGAGTATAACGGGTACCAGCTCCAGCACTTCACAAGAGACTAGCACTTCCACGACGACAGTGCAAGTTGTTAGCACTATCAGTGGGACGATGGACCTGAAGGTCTCCGATCCCGTAGCCTTCGTGAGCGATGCCGCCGCCGTGGCAGCTGTGACGGACAGCATCGCCAGCCTGGTGGGCGTGGCGGTAAGTCAAGTGTCAGTGACTCTGAGCATCAGCAGGCGGCTCGCCGCGATGCCGAGCCACGCGGCGGGTACCGCGTGGGGGGCATCCGCCTCTCCAGGTGGGCCAGCGTGGGAGGGCGCAGGCTCCAGGGCGCTGCTTGCGACCAACGACATAAACGTGCAAGTCAGCTACAGCATCGCGACCGTCGGTGGCCCAGGCACCTTTGACGATCTCAACTCGGACATCACTTCTGCGCTGACTGCCTCAGACGCAGCGTCGACCATGGAGGACTTGACCAATGCCAACCTCCACAGCCAGGGCGCGAGCTACACTGTGACCGTTGAGAGATTCAGCGCGCCGGCGATCGACAGCGTCACGCTGACGGTGACGTCGACGACTACCACGTTTAGCATCAGCAGCACAACGTCGATTCCGAAACCAGCGTTGAACAGTACGACAGGCACCAGCAGCACAACAGAGAGCAGCCGCACCGCTCTGACGTCCACACGTGAAACGAGCAGCGTGTCGAGTACAGCGGTTTGGAACAGCAGTACAGGTAGCAGCACAACGACGTTGAGCAGTACGACGGCGACCAGCACCACAACCCTGACATCATCGACAGAGACGAGCAGTGCGACGAGCACTGCGTCCCCGAGCAGCAGCACGTCGGGGACCCGCAGCACGTCGTTGAGCAGCACGACGGAGACAAGCAGCGTGACCTTGACCTCCGCGAGTAGGACCAGTCACGCGACAGAGATCACCACACATTCCAGCACCAGCACGATGTTGAGCAGCACAACAGAGAGCAGCATCATGGCCTTGAGCAGTCCGACTAGTACCAGATCCACGACCCTGACATCCACGAGCCAGACGAGCAGTGCAACGAGCACTGCGTCTTTGACCAGGACGGATGCCAGCAATACAACACTGATCAGCACGACATGGACGTTTACATCAGGGAGCAGCAGCAGCAGCACGACTCTCACGTCTACAAGCGAGACGAGCACTGTGACGAGCTTAGCGTCGGAGAGCAGGACGCCGGGCACTGGCACCACAACTTTGACATCCACGAGCGAAACGAGCAGTGTGACGAGCAGCACGACGCAGAGTAGCAGCACCGTACAGTCCTCCACGAATGAGTCGAGGACCGCGGATTTGGGAAGTTCGACGGGTACCAGCAGCTCGACGTGGAGCAGCACAACGGAGAGCAGCAGCACCACCCTGACATCTACGAGCGAGACAAGCAGCCTGTCAAGTGCAACTTTGTTGACCAACGAGGCAAGCAGCAGGAGCACAACGTTTATCAGCACGATGCCCACCAGCACCACAACCCTGACTTCATCGACAAAGACGAGCAGTGCTACGAGCACTGCGTCTCTGAGCAGCAGCACGTCGTTAAGCAGCACGACGGAGACAAGCAGCGTGACCTTGACTTCTGCGAGTAAGACCAGTTACGCGACAGACAGGAGCACATTGGGTACGAGTACGACAAGTGTCTACAACAGCACGACGGTGAGCAGCGCAACAGAGAGCATCAGCATCACGGCGTCGAACAGTTCGTCGGGCACCAGCACCACGAGCTTGACATCCACAAGTGAGACGAGCAGTGCGACGAGCACCGCGTCCCTGAGCAGGACGGAAACCAGCACGAAACAGATCAGCACGACAGAGATGTTTACAACAGAGAGCAGCAGCACGACTCTCACGTCTACAAGTAGGACGAGCAGTGTCACGAGCGTCGTGCCGGTGAGCAGCACTGCGGGGATCGGTACGACGGAAACCAGCTCCTCGACCTTGAGCAGCACTACGGGTACCAGCACGACAGGTACCAGCAGTAGCACGACGGAGGACAGCACGGCGGAGAGCAGCGACTTCACCTGGACCTCCACAGGCTCGACCACCAGCACGACGCTGAGCAGCACATTGGGCAGCAGTGCCAGCAGTCTGTCCCCCACGAGTGGGACGGGCAGTGTTTCGAGCACCATGTCTCCGAGCAGTTCGGGATTGATCAGCAGCACATCGTCGAGTAGAAGCACGGGGACTAGCACTACAACTCTGACATCCAAGAGTGAGACGAGTATAACGGGTACCAGCTCCAGCACTCCACAAGAGACTAGCACTTCCACGACGACAGTGCAAGTTGTTAGCACGATCAGTGGGACGATGGACCTGAAGGTCTCCGATCCCGTAGCCTTCGTGAGCGATGCCGCCGCCGTGGCAGCTGTGACGGACAGCATCGCCAGCCTGGTGGGCGTGGCGGTAAGTCAAGTGTCAGTGACTCTGAGCATCAGCAGGCGGCTCGCCGCGATGCCGAGCCACGCGGCGGGTACCGCGTGGGGGGCATCCGCCTCTCCAGGTGGGCCAGCGTGGGAGGGCGCAGGCTCCAGGGCGCTGCTTGCGACCAACGACATAAACGTGCAAGTCAGCTACAGCATCGCGACCGTCGGTGGCCCAGGCACCTTTGACGATCTCAACTCGGACATCACTTCTGCGCTGACTGCCTCAGACGCAGCGTCGACCATGGAGGACTTGACCAATGCCAACCTCCACAGCCAGGGCGCGAGCTACACTGTGACCGTTGAGAGATTCAGCGCGCCGGCGATCGACAGCGTCACGCTGACGGTGACGTCGACGACTACCACGTTTAGCATCAGCAGCACAACGTCGATTCCGAAACCAGCGTTGAACAGTACGACAGGCACCAGCAGCACAACAGAGAGCAGCCGCACCGCTCTGACGTCCACAGCGAGCACACAGCACAGCAGTACTCCGTACGAACCAGCGTGTAGTAGCAGCACAACAGAGAGCAGCCGGTGACGTCCACACGTGAAACGAGCACGAGTACAGCGGTTTGGAACAGCAGTACAGGTAGCAGCACAACGACGTTGAGCAGTACGACGGCGACCAGCACCACAACCCTGACATCATCGACAGAGACGAGCAGTGCGACGAGCACTGCGTCCCCGAGCAGCAGCACGTCGGGGACCCGCAGCACGTCGTTGAGCAGCACGACGGAGACAAGCAGCGTGACCTTGACCTCCGCGAGTAGGACCAGTCACGCGACAGAGATCACCACACATTCCAGCACCAGCACGATGTTGAGCAGCACAACAGAGAGCAGCATCATGGCCTTGAGCAGTCCGACTAGTACCAGATCCACGACCCTGACATCCACGAGCCAGACGAGCAGTGCAACGAGCACTGCGTCTTTGACCAGGACGGATGCCAGCAATACAACACTGATCAGCACGACATGGACGTTGACAGCTGAGAGCAGCAGCAGCAGCACGACTCTCACGTCTACAAGCGAGACGAGCACTGTGACGAGCTTAGCGTCGGAGAGCAGGACGCCGGGCACTGGCACCACAACTTTGACATCCACGAGCGAAACGAGCAGTGTGACGAGCAGCACGACGCAGAGTAGCAGCACCGTACAGTCCTCCACGAATGAGTCGAGGACCGCGGATTTGGGAAGTTCGACGGGTACCAGCAGCTCGACGTGGAGCAGCACAACGGAGAGCAGCAGCACCACCCTGACATCTACGAGCGAGACAAGCAGCCTGTCAAGCGCAACTTTGTTGACCAACGAGGCAAGCAGCAGGAGCACAACGTTTATCAGCACGATGCCCACCAGCACCACAACCCTGACTTCATCGACAAAGACGAGCAGTGCTACGAGCACTGCGTCTCTGAGCAGCAGCACGTCGTTAAGCAGCACGACGGAGACAAGCAGCGTGACCTTGACTTCTGCGAGTAAGACCAGTTACGCGACAGACAGGAGCACATTGGGTACGAGTACGACAAGTGTCTACAACAGCACGACGGTGAGCAGCGCAACAGAGAGCATCAGCAGCACGGCGTCGAACAGTTCGTCGGGCACCAGCACCACGAGCTTGACATCCACAAGTGAGACGAGCAGTGCGACGAGCACCGCGTCCCTAAGCAGGACGGAAACCAGCAGCACGAAACAGATCAGCACGACAGAGATGTTTACAACAGAGAGCAGCAGCACGACTCTCACGTCTACAAGTAGGACGAGCAGTGTCACGAGCGTCGTGCCGGTGAGCAGCACTGCGGGGATCGGTACGACGGAAACCAGCTCCTCGACCTTGAGCAGCACTACGGGTACCAGCACGACAGGTACCAGCAGTAGCACGACGGAGGACAGCACGGCGGAGAGCAGCGACTTCACCTGGACCTCCACAGGCTCGACCACCAGCACGACGCTGAGCAGCACATTGGGCAGCAGTGCCAGCAGTCTGTCCCCCACGAGTGGGACGGGCAGTGTTTCGAGCACCATGTCTCCGAGCAGTTCGGGATTGATCAGCAGCACATCGTCGAGTAGAAGCACGGGGACTAGCACTACAACTCTGACATCCAAGAGTGAGACGAGTATAACGGGTACCAGCTCCAGCACTCCACAAGAGACTAGCACTTCCACGACGACAGTGCAAGTTGTTAGCACGATCAGTGGGACGATGGACCTGAAGGTCTCCGATCCCGTAGCCTTCGTGAGCGATGCCGCCGCCGTGGCAGCTGTGACGGACAGCATCGCCAGCCTGGTGGGCGTGGCGGTAAGTCAAGTGTCAGTGACTCTGAGCATCAGCAGGCGGCTCGCCGCGATGCCGAGCCACGCGGCGGGTACCGCGTGGGGGGCATCCGCCTCTCCAGGTGGGCCAGCGTGGGAGGGCGCAGGCTCCAGGGCGCTGCTTGCGACCAACGACATAAACGTGCAAGTCAGCTACAGCATCGCGACCGTCGGTGGCCCAGGCACCTTTGACGATCTCAACTCGGACATCACTTCTGCGCTGACTGCCTCAGACGCAGCGTCGACCATGGAGGACTTGACCAATGCCAACCTCCACAGCCAGGGCGCGAGCTACACTGTGACCGTTGAGAGATTCAGCGCGCCGGCGATCGACAGCGTCACGCTGACGGTGACGTCGACGACTACCACGTTTAGCATCAGCAGCGCAACGTCGATTCCGAAACCAGCGTTGAACAGTACGACAGGCACCAGCAGCACAACAGAGAGCAGCCGCACCGCTCTGACGTCCACACGTGAAACGAGCAGCGTGTCGAGTACAGCGGTTTGGAACAGCAGTACAGGTAGTAGCACAACGACGTTGAGCAGTACGACGGCGACCAGCACCACAACCCTGACATCATCGACAGAGACGAGCAGTGCGACGAGCACTGCGTCCCCGAGCAGCAGCACGTCGGGGACCCGCAGCACGTCGTTGAGCAGCACGACGGAGACCAGCAGCGTGACCTTGACCTCCGCGAGTAGGACCAGTCACGCGACAGAGATCACCACACATTCCAGCACCAGCACGATGTTGAGCAGCACAACAGAGAGCAGCATCATGGCCTTGAGCAGTCCGACTAGTACCAGATCCACGACCCTGACATCCACGAGCCAGACGAGCAGTGCAACGAGCACTGCGTCTTTGACCAGGACGGATGCCAGCAATACAACACTGATCAGCACGACATGGACGTTGACAGCTGAGAGCAGCAGCACGACTCTCACGTCTACAAGCGAGACGAGCACTGTGACGAGCATAGCGTCGGAGAGCAGGACGGCGGGCACTGGCACCACATCTTTGACATCCACGAGCGACACGAGCAGTGTGACGAGCAGCGCGACGCAGAGTAGCAGCACCGCACAAACCTCCACGAATGAGTCGAGGACCGTGGATTTGGGAAGTGCGACGGGCACCAGCAGCTCGACGTGGAGCAGCACAACGGAGAGCAGTAGCACCACCCTGACATCTACGAGCGAGACAAGCAGCCTGTCAAGTGCAACGTTGTTGACCAACGCGGCAATCAGCAGGAACACCACGTTTATCAGCACGATGCCCATCAGCACCACAACCGTGACGTCATCGGCACAGACGAGCAGTGCGACGAGCACTGCGTCTCTGAACAGCAGCACGTCGGGGACCCGCAGCACGTTGTTGAGCAGCACGACGGAGACCAGCAGCGTGACCTTGACCTCCGCGAGTAAGACCAGTCACGCGACAGAGATCACCACACATTCCAGCACCAGCACGATGTTGAGCAGCACAACGGAGAGCAGCACCATGGCCTTGAGCAGTCCGACTAGTACCAGATCCACGACCCTGACATCCACGAGCCAGACGAGCAGTGCAACGAGCACTGCGTCTTTGACCCGGATGGATGCCAGCAGTACAACACTGATCAGCACGACATGGACGTTGACAGCTGAGAGCAGCAGCAGCACGACTCTCACGTCTACAAGCGAGACGAGCACTGTGACGAGCATAGCGTCGGAGAGCAGGACGGCGGGCACTGGCACCACAACTTTGACATCCACGAGCGACACGAGCAGTGTGACGAGCAGCACGACGCAGAGTAGCAGCACCGCACAGTCCTCCACGAATGAGTCGAGGACCGTGGATTCGGGAAGTGCGACGGGTACCAGCAGTTCGACGTGGAGCAGCACAACGGAGAGCAGCAGCACCACCCTGACATCTACGAGCGAGACAAGCAGCCTGTCAAGTGCAACTTCGTTGACCAACGCGGCAATCAGCAGGAGCACCACGTTTATCAGCACGATGCCCATCAGCACCACAACCGTGACATCATCGACAGAGACGAGCAGTGCGACGAGCACTGCGTCTCTGAACAGCAGCACATCGGGGACCCGCAGCACGTCGTTGAGCAGCACGACGGAGACAAGCAGCGTGACCGTGATTTCCGCGAGTAAGACCAGTCACGCGACAGAGATCATCACACGGTCCAGTACCAGCACGACGTTGGACAGCACAACGGAGAGCAGCACAATGGCATTGAGCAGTCCGACTAGTACCAGATCCACGACTCTGACATCCACGAGCCAGACGAGCAGTGCAACGAGCACTGCGTCTTTGACCCGGATGGATGCCAGCAGTACAACACTGATCAGCACAACATGGACGTTTACAGCTGAGAGCAGCAGCAGCACGACTCTCACGTCTTCAAGCGAGACGAGCACTGTGACGAGCATAGCGTCGGAGAGCAGGACGGCGGGCACTGGCACCACAACTTTGACATCCACGAGCGACACGAGCAGTGTGACGAGCAGCACGACGCAGAGTAGCAGCACCGCACACACCTCCACGGATGAGTCGAGGACCGTGGATTTGGGAAGTGCGACGGGCACCAGCAGCTCGACGTGGATCAGCACAACGGAGAGCAGTAGCACCACCCTGACATCTACAAGCGAGACAAGCAGCCTGTCAAGTGCAACTTCGTTGACCAACGCGGCAATCAGCAGGAGCACCACGTTTATCAGCACGATGCCCATCAGCACCACAACCGTGACATCATCGACAGAGACGAGCAGTGCGACGAGCACTGCGTCTCTGAACAGCAGCACGTCGGGGACCCGCAGCACGTCGTTGAGCAGCACGACGGAGACAAGCCGCGTGACCTTGACCTCCGCGAGTAGGACCAGTCACGCGACAGAGATCACCACACGGTCCAGTACCAGCACGACGTTGGACAGCACATCAGAGAGCAGCATCACGGCATTGAGCAGTCCGACTAGTACCATATCCACGACTCTGACATCCACGAGCCAGACGAGCAGTGCAACGAGCACTGCGTCTTTGACCCGGATGGATGCCAGCAGTACAACACTGATCAGCACACCATGGACGTTTACATCAGAGAGCAGCAGCAGCACGACTCTCACGTCTACAAGCGAGACGAGCACTGTGACGAGCATAGCGTCGGAGAGCAGGACGGCGGGCACTGGCACCACAACTTTGACATCCACGAGCGACACGAGCAGTGTGACGAGCAGCACGACGCAGAGTAGCAGCACCGCACACACCTCCACGAATGAGTCGAGGACCGTGGATTCGGGAAGTTCGACGGGTACCAGCAGGTCGACGTGGAGCAGCACAACGGAGAGCAGCAGCACCACCCTGACATCTACAAGCGAGACAAGCAGCCTGTCAAGTGCAACTTCGTTGACCAACGCGGCAATCAGCAGGAGCACCACGTTTATCAGCACGATGCCCATCAGCACCACAACCGTGACATCATCGACAGAGACGAGCAGTGCGACGAGCACTGCGTCTCTGAACAGCAGCACGTCGGGGACCCGCAGCACGTCGTTGAGCAGCACGACGGAGACAAGCAGCGTGACCTTGACCTCCGCGAGTAAGACCAGTCACGCGACAGAGATCACCACACGGTCCAGTACCAGCGCGACGTTGGACAGCACATCAGAGAGCAGCATCACGGCATTGAGCAGTCCGACTAGTACCAGATCCACGACTCTGACATCCACGAGCCAGACGAGCAGTGCAACGAGCACTGCGTCTTTGACCCGGATGGATGCCAGCAGTACAACACTGATCAGCACAACATGGACGTTTACATCAGAGAGCAGCAGCAGCACGACTCTCACGTCTACAAGCGAGACGAGCACTGTGACGAGCATAGCGTCGGAGAGCAGGACGGCGGGCACTGGCACCACAACTTTGACATCCACGAGCGACACGAGCAGTGTGACGAGCAGCACGACGCAGAGTAGCAGCACCGCACACACCTCCACGAATGAGTCGAGGACCGTGGATTTGGGAAGTGCGACGGGCACCAGCAGGTCGACGTGGATCAGCACAACGGAGAGCAGTAGCACCACCCTGACATCTACAAGCGAGACAAGCAGCCTGTCAAGTGCAACTTTGTTGACCAACGCGGCAATCAGCAGGAGCACCACGTTTATCAGCACGATGCCCATCAGCACCACAACCGTGACATCATCGACAGAGACGAGCAGTGCGACGAGCACTGCGTCTCTGAACAGCAGCACGTCGGGGACCCGCAGCACGTCGTTGAGCAGCGCGACGGCGACCAGCAGCGTTACCGTGACGACCGCGAGTGAGACCAGTCACGTGACAGACAGGAGCACGGTGGGTACGAGCGCGACAGATATCTACAACAGTACGACGATGAGCAGCACAACAGAGAGCATCAGCAGCACGGCGTCGAACAGTTCGTCGGGCACCGGCACCACGAGCTTGACATCCACAAGTGCGACGACCAGTGCGACGAGCACCGCGTCCCTGAGCAGGACGGAAACCAGCAGCACGAAACATATCGGCACGACAGAGATGCTCACAACAGAGAGCAGCAGCACGACTCTCACGTCTACAAGTAGGACGAGCAGTGTGACGAGCGTCGTGCTGGTGAGCAGCACAGCGGGTATGGGTACGACGGAAACCAGCTCCTCGACCTTGAGCAGCACTACGGGTACCAGCGCGACAGGTACCAGCAGTAGCACGACAGAGGATAGCACGACGGGGATCAGCGATTATATCTTGACCTCCACAGGCTCGACCACCAGCATGACGCTGAGCAGCACAACGGAGAGCAGCGAGAGCCAGACCACATCGACCAGAAACACGACGTGGACTAGTATCCAGCCGCGCTGCCGCGCATGCCCGCCACCTCGTTTGGGTATGCACGTGTACGCGCCCGTTCTCTTCCCAGCCGCCCCAGAGTCGTTGGGTCCCTGTTTCGACCAGCACGCCGCTCGCACCTGCTTCCTCCCTCCGCGCCCTCCCGGCCCTCCTCGGTCCTCTCCTTCTATTGCCCTTGTTGTTGAGGTCGTGCTCCGCTCAGGCCCCGTGGTCGGTCCTTCGTTCGGTAGGACCCCCTTTCTGATCTATCCCCTTCCGTGCTAGTTCCCAATCCTCCCGTGCGTTGGGTTTTCGTTTTGCAAAAAGCACCGTGGTATCCAGTCCTCCCTCCTCCCACACCCCTTCCTCCTCCTTCTTCTCGTTCTCCTCCTCCTCCTCCTCATCCTGCTCCTCCTCCTCCTCCGCCTTCCGTAGCCATTTCGGCTCAAACCCGTTCTGGCCCAAGGTGATCTGCGCGATCTGGGACGCTCCGCTCCCCCCGCCCCTGGGCCCCCCGCCTTCTGCTCCTTCGGGTCGTGCGCGCCGCGCGCTCTCGGGCCCTCCTCTCTCCTGCGCGCATTGGCGTGCCTCCCTGCCGACCAGCTCGGCGGAGCGACAGCACCAATGCCTGCGGCTGGGCATGTAACCGTCGCCATCTATTCCCAGGACTCTGGCTTCTCGTCCCCCCTTGTTAGCGCCAGAGAGGAGCCCGCCCATGGATTTGTCCATCAACCTGAGGGAGAACATATCGGGACGCACACAGATAGTGAAGGAAGGGTTCACACAGACATCGTCCGAGCTCTCTTCGTGTCGCTCCCAGATCCACAATATGCCGTTTGACTTCGTGAAAATGCAGGGTGAATGCATTTCGCTTCAAAATGACCACGAACGAAACCATACATCAAGACGTCCTCGAGCAGGGCGCCAGGCTCCGTGGTGTGTGTGTGTGTGTGTGTGTGTGTTTGTGTGTGTGTGTGTGTGTGCGAGGGACAACCGAAGCAGATCTGAAGTACCTTCGTGAGCAACTCAATTCGTCGACTCGTGCCTCCTCGGACGTGATGGTGCCTGACGACAGCGATGTTGGCACTGCCAGGTTCAAACGTAGGGTGGCTCGCAACAGGGGGCCAGATTAGGGAAACGCCACTCATCTCATCGTCCTTGGGTGCTTGAAGCCGTTGTGGGAAGCGTCTTTGAGAGCAGCAGTGGCTCCGATCATCTTTGCTTGCAGCCCTCAGGGAGAAAAGCCCGCGGTGCGTACGTATACCTTGACTCGGAAGGTGATGCTTGACTTCCCAGCACGTTGGCTTGCTCTGCGTTCTTCGGGAAAACGCAGTCGACCGGGAAGGTTCTGTTCTACGACCCCATTGATCAGGTCCCGTGGGAGCTCAGGGGGCGACGTAACCACCCTCCGCCGAGTCGGAAGCTTTGCTATTATCTCGGGCAGTCTCGGGCTATCATCTCGAAGGTGTTCAGTGGGCATGAGGTTGGCAGTGGCGGGTTCGGCGGTCAGATCTACGCTCCTCATGGTCCCCAGCACCCAGTCGTTCTTGCTAAGATTCGGATTGCAGATTCTGGTGCGGTTGAAATCGTCTTGGGCAAGTAGGGTCTAGCGATGTTCGGGAAGAGTGTGCATGAGGGCTGCGCCCTCGCGCTGTTTTCGCACATTCGCCACTCTTGTATGAGGCCCCTAGTTGCCCAAGGCGCCCTTGCATGAATCCTCTGGCTGTTGCTTCCTTGTCGTCTGAGGCCCCTGGCGCTTCTGTTGGGGGAAGCGCCCTTAGGGTGGGGCCTGGGGGCGGCATGTCTTCATTGCCACATGGTGTGGTCCTGTCAGCTCCCAATTTGAAGCCTCCTCTCCCAGGTTGTTTTCTCCTCCTGACGTTTCTTCTGGAGCGAATGGGGTGTTCGCCCCGCGTATTCCCCCGTCCATCTGTGCCTGGAACACGCGCGCACTCGTCTCTCTGGAGTCCACTGCTTCTATCCATCCGCGTCGTCGCCATCAGCAGCTCTTCAACCTCTGTGGTATGTTCGATGCGGTGCGCCTTCAAGAGACGCATGGGACTGCGGCCGATGTCGGGGATACTGCTCGGGATGATCGCTGTCGGAGCTCGATATTGCACTCGTCTCTCCTGGGCCCTAGGCTTGGCGGTGGAGTTGTTGCAATCTTGTCCAGCCGTCCGGCTGCCCAGTTCAGTGAGAGTGTGTCGAGGGCCAGTGTCCAAGGTAGAACCCTTGCCTCCTCGCTGAAGGGTCCTCATGGTGACTCGTGTATCGTCAATGAACATATGCCGACTACCTCTGATCAGATCGAGACTTTCGCAGGTAGCTAGATCGGGTCCAGGCATCTCTCCCTCGTCCTGCTCACACCCTTTGCCTAATTGCTGGGGGTTGGAATCTGATGGAGGTGGAGGAGGGTCGTTTCCGTGCGGGCGGGCTGTGGTTGGTGGGTGACAGGCTCCAGTCAGATGCGTTTGCGCCCCGGTGCGGGTCTTGGGCCGAGCTTCGCCGGCCAGACCCAGTTCGGCGCGATGTCCATGAGGGCTTTGTCCGAGGGGTCGCGCGCCAGGACAGGATCTGCGCCGGCCTCCCTGCTTCGTTTCTTCAGGATTTCTCTGCCGCGGTCAACGCTGCTGGTTTCGCTGTGGAAGCTAGCACCCCCCCGGGCCACGTCCCTGTTGCGGCGGCGATTGCCGCCGAATCCCCCGCTCTTGCGCCGCGGCAGATGCCGAAATGGATCGCCCAACGTGAGCTCTACCGCGGTCTCTGTTGTTCTGAGATATTCTCGGCCCCCCCAGAGCGGCCCCCCCCGCGGGGGAGCTGAGTCGCGTGGGAGATATCTTCTGGAAGATGACACCTGTCTTCAAAAGGCGGCTCGGCGTGGGAACTCCTCGCTCGGCCAGTGAGAAGCTGAATTTTGCTCTTGCGGCATTCTTGGGATGGAGACGTGGGGGGTTTGCTCTCTGTATCTTTGCTGTTCGCGCTCGCATATATATATATATATATATATATATATATATATTCTATATTTTATATCATATTATCATCATTATCATTATTATTATTATCATTATCATTATCATTCTATTTTTGTTATTATTATTCTTATTATTATTATTATTTTTATTTTTATTTATTTATTTATTTATTATTATTATTATTATTATATATACATATATTTATAATCGTAGTTATCTCCCCGGAGAAAGAGTCGCGCGCGCGCCCCGATGGGCTGGGGGCTCTCGCCGAATCGCTGAAGAATGCGTGGTGTGATCAGGAGGTTGCGCGCGGGCCCCGATGGGCTGGGGGCTCTCGCCGAATCGCTGAAGCATGCGTGGTGTGATGAGGGGGGGCGGATCTGGAGCAGTGGGGGGTTGGCGATCTTGAGAAGTCTAACAGAGTGCAACGTCTGGCGCGCAGGCGCAGAGCCTGGCATAATATGCGCAGACGGTTTGGTCTGTCGGGGATCCTTCTCGAGGATGCGTGCCTCCCCCGATGAGTCCATTGAAATTTGGCCGACCATTGGTCGCGTGTCTTTGAGGAAAGAACTCCAGACCGCTCACTCGGGGCCGAGATCCTGGGACATGCGCAGCCCGCTGATGGCCATGATCGGGGCTGTCGGTTGGTCATTGTTGATTTCGTGGGTTGGGTCCGTTTCAAACGTCGTTCGGCTGCCGGGGGTTCTGGGGAGACGGGGTGCCATTGGGGTGCTGGAGAGCGGGTGGCGCGGCTGATATTTTGTTTTTGGTTTATAGTGAAATGTATGAGGCATCGGGTGGCACGGTGTCTCCCGAGATGCGCCGTGGGATAATGTGCCTCCTGCCCAGATGTGGTAAGGCTGACGAGAACCCAGCAGAGTTGGCGCGGGCACCTGGGAGAACGCGACCCCCGACCTTAGCGAACGCAGGTGCCAATATCTTCAGCGACGCCTTCTCCACTGGCCTCCAGAGAGCCTCGAGGCCCTCTATTGATGCGATGCAGAAGGGAAGTGTCCCTGGCAGGGGCATTCTGGACAATGTTGTAGAGGCCGACTGGCGGGGGCTCCGCCAGTTGCCCACTGGGGGGGGGGGGGGGTCGGGGCTCCTTCTCTGTGATTTCTCGGCCGTGTTCCCGTCTTTAGTCATATCTCGGGTTCGACCTGTTTGGAAGCCATTGGCGCCCCTGGACAAATTGTTGGATTTTATCGGGACTTTATGCCGTAAGAATGTCGCTGTCGTAAATTTCCCTGGGGCGCAGCCGCGCGAATTCCCCGTCCGCCGTGGAATTTGACAAGGTGGCCCGGCTTCGATGACTCTCTTCTCGTATGCGCTGGGCCCCGCCCTGAGATGGCAGCGCGTGAAGTTGACGGGGCGCGTTCCGCGGGCGAGAGCGTGTGCCGACGACCGTTGCTTCTGTGTTGACCACTTCCTCCCTGCGCTGTCTCCATCTCCATCACTTCGCCATCTCTCCGTGCTTAGGCGTGCGATTGGTCTCTCTCTGAAAATTGCCACGTGCCAAGTGCTTGTGATCGGCTCCCCCGACCCTGGTCAGTTCTTTGTTCGCCTGCGGCGGATGGGGATGTATGTCAAGATATGGGATTTGTGAGGTTAGCACTCTATCCTTGATTTTGGATGGGTCCTGGAGCGATGGAAGACTTGCGGTCGAATGTCTTTCCCAGGTTCTTGCAGACGGGGCTGGGGTTGCAGATGACCGTGAGCTTTTCCACGCGCGCTGCATGTCCCTCCAGACTTACCGTTTGCAGCTGTGTCCAGTCCCGCCCTCCATGCGGAAGGCCTACAGTGAAGCTCTTCAGGTTGTCGCGGGGGGCACGCAGATCCGGCGCCTTGCTGCTCCTCACGTCGGCTGCGAGCTGCGCAAATGTCGCCGCTTTCGTGGGCTTCTG